CTCAGTTTAAGTAAGACGGAAACAAAGAGGTGCTGAAAATTACATTCTTGGGTTTGGAACCAATTGGACCAACTCAGTCCAGGGACTATTTCGAGATGCTGTAATCAATACGAATGCAATCTATACATGCCTATACTGGTCATGCAGTTTGCATTCCCAGTGCATCTGCAGGGTGCTGTCATCAGTGCCCTGCTTTCTGCAGGAAGGACAGAGGATTGACGGAAATAGGGCTTCGACTGGTAAGAGCTGACAAGCTCGGACCGTGTTGCTCAGGCCCCCTTCCCTCCTCCCGTTCACCGTCTGCTTTGCTTGAATGTCCTCCAAGCTCATATTGGAGCTTGACTGCCACTGTAACAGTGTTAAGAGGGTGGGAGATCCAACTGTGGTATTTGAAAGATGGGGTCTGGAAGAGGTGACTGAATTGTGAGGACTGTGCCCTCGTGAGTGGATCAATCCACTCATGGGGGGGGGCTGGGGCGGTTCCTCCCCTGGCTGCTTAGCAGATGACGTCCTTCACCTGCTTAAAGAAAGGAAGGGGCAGCGCCTGACACTCCAAACTTCTTTAAAGGTAAAATAGAGCTGCCGGAAACTATTATCCTTTACACAAAGTTATACAGAATCCCGCCAACAACGATCCTTGCTTCTGTATATATGACAATCACCCATTTTAGAGAAAAGGTCTGGAGTTTTAAAATTATTTCCACAAGTCTTCCACTACCTTTTCATTTTTTCCTTTTCAAAATAATTTCACTATTCCAATGCTTCTTGGGTGCTGGCTGAACTTTAGGGTTTCGGTGTAGGTGAGTGGAGAACTTCCCCGTGGCGGTGACAGTGTGCTCCTTTCCTCTTCCTCATTTTTCAGAATTATTAATTAGCTTGCAAACTGGGGCAGCTTTGCAGGTGGAGAATGAGTTATGGGGCATTTGGACAAATCAGACTAATGGAAAGCAGAGGTGCTGGAGCTAAAACAAATTTAGATGTTCCTCTGCATCAACTCTCTTCTTTCACAAGTCAGGAAGTAGCCAGGTGGGCGGGTTGCCCAAGGCCAAGTCCAGCCAGCCACGCACATGGAGACTAGGCCTCCACCACATAACGCGGTCATGTGACGATCGGGCCCAATGACCACTGCACGCACAGTGCAATTTGGTAAAGCTTTCCTATTTCCTTATAAGAAAATAAATTCCAGTTGAACTTCAGGAAAAATATCTCTTCTGTAGTGACAAACCACTGTGGAAAGCTACAGCAGTATACAACGTAAGGTGACATTTGGATTTAAAGGAGCACCAGGAAACAAGAGAGTTTCATATTGTTCCGTGCTTCCATGGCTCACTCCACAGTATGAAAAGTGATTTTACACAGTCAAGCCTATTGTTCCAGAACACGTTAACAATAACTTTGTATTAGAGAAAGTCAAGTGTGCTTTATTTTTGTTGAAAACGTCAAATCCAGAGCATAGAGAAGAAAACAAAAGCCATCCATAATCGTGTAACTGAGACACAGCCACTGTCTTGATCTCGGCGTGTTTCCTACTGGCAGGGCATCCATCTGGCACATGCACACACATGGACATGCCTCTCACCGTGCTGCTCGAGACACTCATACCCGGAACGACATCACGATCATTCTGTACCAGTCTATGCAGTCTTTCACACTGCTTATTCCATGTTCTGCTGGAGCAGGAGCAGTTCCTCAAGACACTTGGGATTGGATTGCGAACAAATGTGGAGACTTATGCACCCAAAGAAAGTGAAATCATTGAGACAGAGTGTCTGGCACATGAGCTCAGAGGTCGAGCTCAGCCCTAATGGAGTCCAGGGCTTAGTGACAGGTTAAACAAGGAGAACGACCTTCCAGCTCCTGCAGCTCACTGCACTCCTCTGGGGTGGGGATGGACAGCCAGACACCCTCCACAGCGGATCCCACTCACTCCCGCTTTTCCTCCCTTTCCTTCAGGGGCAGGGGAGGAGGAGATCATATTTGAGGGGAAAGAAGGAACAGTCATGAATTAAGGAGGAAAGGAGCTATTCACAGTCACTACTCATACCCTGAATAGGTTAAGGCAGAATGGGCTGACACGATGTAAGAGGGCATGCATGACCAGCGGGGACGGTCTGACCATTGCAGCTTCCAGGCTCTGCCTTCCTTTGTCTTAAACTACAGGAAGATGTCCCATCTGTGTCGAGATAGTAAATCTCGATGCTTCGAGGGTGAAAGAGGGGATTTTAGCAAATGACCATGTTAGTTAGCAGGAGTTCATTTTTAAAATAACAGCTTTAGTGACATAGAATTCACATTCCATACAAGTCACCCATTTAAAGTGTACAATTCAATGGTTTTTCAAATATTCACAGAGTTGAACAACTGTCACCACAGTCAACTTTAAAACATTTTTGTCACCCCCCAAAGAAACCCGAGACCCATTAACAGTCACTTCCTATCTAATATTTCTCCCCAGCTCTAGGAACCCACTAATCTACCTCCTGCCTCTATGGATTTTCCTGTTCTGGAGTCTCATGTAAATGGAATCATAGCATTTGTGAAACTTTGTGCCCAGCTTCTTTTACCCAGCAGGCTTTCCCAAGGTTCATCCCTGCTGTAGCACACACCAGCACGTCACTCCTCTTTATGGCCAAGTAACAGGCCATTGCTTGGATATGCCCACTTTATTTTTCTGTCCACCAGTTGGTGGACCCTTCCCCCCCCCCCCC